ATCCGCGGGCTCAGGCAATCCACTCACCTCAGCCTCCCAAAGGCACGGGATTACAGGCTGAGCCACCGAGCCCGGCTTCAAATATAAATTTACTGTAATAGGATGATCTAAGAACCTGGAGAACCTGCCTATGGGCCTTTATTTTACAGATTGGAGGATGCAAGCACAGCTCTGGCAAAATAGTTTGGGATGGGGAAGGGGATTTTAAAGAGTTGTTTAAGCCAGGCGTGGTGGCTCATGCCTATAATCGCAGCACTTTGGGAGGCAGAGGCAAGAGGATTGCCTAAAGCCCATGGGTAACATGGTGAGACCTTGTCTTTACAGTAAATTTAAAAAGTTAGCCAGATGTGGTGGCGCATACCTGTAGTTCCAGCTACTTGGAAGGCTGAAGCAGAAGGTTTGCCTGAGCCAGGTAGATGCTGGGGTGGCTGTGAGCGTGCCACTGCACTCCAGCCTGGGCGACAGAGTGAGACTCCAACTCAAAAAAAAAAAAAAAAAGAGTTGTTGAGTTGTTTAGAGGACTTAGAAGAGGACGAACACTTTGCTGAAGGCAAAGACTTGGAAGAGACACAGAACTTTCAGGAAAGTTTGATTTAATTTGCTATTTGGTATGTAATTTAAATATTTTATGTCTCTCTGTAATATCTTAATTTACAATTGCATTATTCATTTTTGCTTTAGAAATTGAATTTTTAAAAAATTTGACCCTGAGGTGGGTGTGGGTGTAGTCCTAAGTTGGGTGTGGGGTGAAAAATGTATTCATTGGGGCTTCTCGACTGACATGGATAGAGTCTAGGAATCCATACTCTAAACAGTTTTAGCCAGTAACAGAATGTCCTGTTGGAGATACCTGATTATGCCTTTCTTGTTTTCCTTTTTTTGTTATGCATTGACATAATACAGTCTGTCTTAATTCATGCAATATCTTCTCATGTGTAGGTCTCGGATGTGGTTTATTATACACTGCAACAGTGACCATTACGTGCCAGTATTTTGACAGTCGCCGAGGCCTTGCACTTGGCCTGATTTCAACAGGTACATTTTAGAAATAACTAATGTCATTCTATTCCGCCTTCTAAACAAAGTGAAACATTACTAAGCACAGATATGTTAACCAACCACTACTCAGCTACCAGTCAAGTAGCCCATGATTTTTTTACTCTATACCTAGGGGGAAAGATTATTTTCCACTGTAAATATGAGAGTAGCTTTCAAAACACTCTAAGATAGATATATAAAAAATCTGGAGCATTCGATGTCCAATATAATACATGAGAAGAAAGCTTATAGACCCAGTAAATTGAGAGTCACATGCTGGTGAGCGCTTTGCTACAAGAAGCAGAGACAGCATCTATAAACTACCTTATCCCTGAAAAAGATAGGAGAAATTGAAAGAAAATGGACATCCCTCAGGCCACTGTCAGAAAGACTGATGATAATCATCTTTTTACTGCCATGTATTGTGGAATTTACAATTTTTCTAAAGTACTAATTTCTGAATATTTCTCCCTGGCCTTCATATATGTCCAAATGACAGACTGTTTGCTATTGCAATTTCTTTAATAATCAAGAGATTGTCACTGAGGGAAAAAGTATAAATACATAATACATATTTTAAATATAAAAGCCTTCTGCACATTTGAAAGCGGTGTTTCACATTCAAATTTTTTTTTTTTTTTTGACTTGGAGTCTCACTCTGTCGCCCAGACTGGAGTGCAGTGGCACGCTCCTGGCCACCACAGCCTTGACCTGCTGGGCCCAGGCGATCCTCCTGCCTCAGTCTTCCAAGTAGCCAGAACTACAGGCGTGCACTACCGCTCCCGGCTAATTTTTTTTTATTTATTGTAAAGACATGGTCTCACCAAGTTGCCTGGGAGGGTCTCGAACCTGCGGGCTCAGGCAATCCACTTGCCTCGGCCTCCCAAAGTGCTGGGATCACAGGCTGAGCCACCAAGCCCAGCCCAGATAATTTTTTTTAAAAGCGGTTTAGGGATCTTATTAAAATTAAAATTAAAATTGCTGTAGCCAATAGTTCATGAGTTTATTTCAGACACAGAGAGCCAAGTTACCATAAGTTGTAAGTTTACATATGCTGCCTATTAGTAGGTAGACATTCCTGGGAGGGGTCAGCCTTTCAAATAAGCTGAATAACTTCCCTGGTTATTCTGACAACAGAGTCCAAACTAACGTTTTGTTTCTGAGGCCAGCCCAGTGGCAATAAGGTGACTCCTGGTTAAATTGAACTGAACTGAATATTTATCCCAGGGTGTTTCAGAAAGCTCTGCTACGTGAGAAATGTAAATCGTCTGGGAGGAGACATGAACTTCAGGACATGGCTAAGGTAGAAATGAGAGCAGGAACACAAAAGCAGAAGATGGGGAATCCAGAGCAGCTGGAATGCAGTTTAATTAACTCGTCAGGATTTCCCACAAGTGTGGAAGGAATTGCGAGATTAAGTATGGTAGTTTAAAGGACGAAGGTTTCACCTATATACCATACACTTTGTAGAGGCCTCTACAAGAGCCTTTCATTAATATTTGCATGCAAAGATTAGTTTTCTTTGGGAATGAAGAGGTTAACTTTCAAAATGTTAAGTAGAGACAAAGAAAGGTCCCAAAGAAAGTGGGTTTTTATAGAGCTCTGAGACACAAAGGCATTTAGTTATCTATAGGACTTTTCAGTGAGATGGGTTTTTACAGCAAGCATGTCCACCTATTTATCAGTGATGCCTCTGAGCTTGATACCACTGACATACTGATGGAATTATGATGTAATTTGGTATTGACCATTTTAAACGTATAATCCACCTTTTTAGACTTTTTTCCTTATTGGGTCTATTTTTTTCCCTCCCTTTTCACATGACATTTTCTAATGATATTTAGATTTGAAAATACTCAATTTTTTAGACATTGAAATCTGAACCAGATGAGAATAGTGCAAACTAATTGGGCTAACATAACTTGGCATTCCTGTGTGTTTACTGTGACCAACCAACGATGTGACCACTATTGCCGAGATGTACAAATTGACATACTTTGTAATATAAATAGCCTAAAAATTCCACCTTTCTCTTTTCATAATTTTATTAATGCATTAAAAATATAAACTGCATATTCTGATGATTCAGCAATGGACTTGAACTATCAAACCATTATAAATATTCTAAAACTAAAATATACTCTATCTCAAAAATTAAAATGTGAAAATTTGCTTTTCCAGGGGGAATAAAAATATAGTTTGGGGCCTGACACATAAAGAGTGCAAAGAAAGAAGTTGCTCTTGGAGTCAGACTGACTCTGTGATTTTTCTTATACCATTACAGATTTGTAAAATATGGCAATTTTCTCAACCTTTCCAGCCCTAGGTCACTTCATCTGTAGATTGGGAATAATAATAGGACCTGTGTATCCAGTGGGGTTCTTTTTTTATTTTTTTATTTTTTTGAGTTGGAGTCTCACTCTGGTGTCAAGACTGGAGTGCAGTGGCGTGCTCATGGCCATTGCAGCCTCAACTTGCGGGGCTCAGGCCATCCTTCCGCCTCAGCCTTCCAAGTAGCTGGAACTACAGGTGCGAGCCACCACGTCTGGTTAATTTTTTGATTTATTGTAGAGACAAGGTCTCGCCAAACTGCCCAGACTGGTGTCGAACTCCAACTCAAACCCGTGGACTCAGGCAATCCTCTCGCCTCAGCCTCCCAAAGTGCTGGGATAATAGGCTTGAGCCATTACGCCCAGCCTTCAGGGGGCTTTTTTTTTTTTTGAGTTGGAGTCT